TATATTTTATTTTGGGGCCCCAATGATATTTTTTGGGGCCCCAATGGCATTGACTGGTTCACGCAGTCTTCAAAGTAACCAAGCAACCTAAATTAATTTGTAATTTGTCTGTCCAATGACCTTGCTCCCTTTCATGTCATGTGATACCTTGCGTGACGAGCGAACCGTTTAATCAACATCAAAAGTTATATGTACTACATAGCTATAGCAGCAGCAAGGTCGGCAGAATTAAAACAAATGTAATAGCTTGCATTTATAATGTACAGCAAACCAAAACACAAGAGCGGTGCTTAAAAGAGAAAGGACAAGAGAGAACAAGGAGACGTAACAGCTAAACTGACAAAATTAGACCGTTTTTTTTGTCATACATCGTCCTCGAAATCGAACGCTAACGTTGGTAATGTTGACGTGCAGCGGCAGCCGGAGGCTAACGATAGCTCACCTGCCTCACCATCATCTAGCTCCACAAGTGAAGCTGTATCCGTGGCTGTGCGACCTTCTTCTCCAGCCATGAGCCAGGAGGAGAGGATGGATTTGGCTGTGCCCGGCGGTGGTCCTACAGTTCCCCCAAGGGCCCCGCCCCCAACCGATAGGGGACTCTATGGCGCTATTGAGAACCCCGACGCCAAGATCAAAGGCTATATTATAGCAACTGGTCCATGTAGGCCTACCGGCCCATTCCCCAGAGACACACATCAAGGAAACAGGTGTTTCTCCGAGATGTATTACACCACCACTACCAGAGCAGGTATCAAACTGCCACGGACATGGCTGTGTTACTCCCCCACCCTGGACTGTGCCTATTGTGAGCTGTGCTGGCTTTTCGCAGACCGAGGTGCACCGTTCTACAGTGATGCGTGGGTCAAAGGAGTTCGCGACTGGCAACATTTGTCGGCAAGGATTGACTCACATGCACAATCTGAGGTCCATGTCGGAACGTGTGTCATATGTGTTGCAGGCAAAGGATGTAGACATCCACAAAGCTGTTGGTCTCCTCCAAAACACAATCCAGGCCCTATCTGCATACCGAGATGACTTTGACCAAGTCAAACGCACCGCTCAAAATCTTGCTGAGAGATGGGGAGCGCAGAGCGAGTTCACGGAAATTCGCAAAAGAAGGATGAAACGCCACTTCGATGAACTCAGTCGAGATGAGAGGCTTAGTGATGGCGAGAGCCGTTTCAGAATTAATGTGTTCAACGCCAGCCTGGACATCATTAACAGCCAGCTGTCACAGAGGTTCACTTCTATGCGTGAAACGAACAAACTGTTCCAGGCTATCCACCCCGGGACATTGAACCGTGCGCAGGATAATGCCCTTCACCAGCACGTGCAGCGCCTCGCGGACCACTGCAGCAGGGATTTATCCCCGAGTTTCCCCGTCCAACTCCATGCATTCAGAGCCTGCTTTAAGACTGAAATAGCTAAAGAACCATCTGTGAAGGATTTGACCAAAATGCTTATTGTGGACCACAGCTCAATGGCAGCCACATTTAGCGAAGTTTGCACAGCATTGCTGTTATATCTCACCATACCTGTCACTGTTGCGACCGCAGAACGCTCATTCTCAAAGCTCAAATTGATTAAGACGTATTTAAGAAGCAGCATGGGACAAGAACGACTCAGTGGATTGGCAACACTCTCAATAGAGAACAGCAGAGCCCGGAAGTTAGACCTGAGCAGTGTTGTTGACGACTTTGCTGAGCGCAAGGCCCGCAAGACTTCTGATGAGTAGCTTTTCTCTTGTTATGGAGAGGGATCGGAGATTTAAATCTGTAGCAATGTAATTGTGACCTCTCTTATGTTGGAAAATGCGCATGGTGCGCACCTAACCTGTGTCTGTGATAACGTTTGGCCGCTGTGCCATGATGAAGAATGATTCATTCTGTGATTGTGTGATTAGTTCGCTGTGCCGTTGTTTATTGAAGCATGATTTTTTTGGAATAGTCTAATAAATATAAAATAATTGCCAGTGTTATCAGTTGCAAGTGTGTATTTGTTGTAATAATGACGACTTGATTTGAAGCCTGTGTTTGTGAGTGAGAGTGAGAGAGTGAGAGAAAGAGAGAGAGAGTGCGCGCGCTCCAGGAATAATGCAGAATAGGCCCAATCACAACCTTGTTACGCCACTGGTTCACGCTGTAGCTCAGTCAAATCCCTTTTCCTTTTTCGGGGTGTGGCCATTTGGGATTCCCCTTGAGTCATCGCTGATGCTGTGGGTGAGGGACTTCCCTCTTCTCTGTGGTCCTCTGAGTCTGTAAAATTGCAAGTTAATGTCAGTTACTGTCAGTTATTGTCAGTTACTATCAACTGCCGCGATTGCTAATTGTTATCTTGCTAGCCGTGATGTCTCACGGGGGTAATGTTTATATAGATAATGTAGGGTGATGTTACTCTATTAATGACTTACCACTTATAGTGACAGCTGACACGTCTGCGTCAACCTCTTCAAATGTTGAGGTTGATGGCTCAGAGCTGTCGATCCCATTCAACCCCGTGAAAGTGGGGGAATCCTCTCCAAAGATAGCTATAATTATATCGCTATATGGTCAGGCTTTTGGTGCAGGGCCTCTGCCGGTCGGAGGGTCTTTGAGAACCGAAGCATCTTTCTTGGCTCTAGATAGTAGGTCCTTCCACTTTTTCCTACACTCTTCCACCGTCCGTATCCCTCCATCACCCAAGTCATTTATCGCACCAGTGATCGACTTCCAGGCTGCGAGTTTGTGTTCGTTTGTCATAGTGTTATTAAATTTGGCAGTTAGCTAATTATTATGCTCTGCATATATTTCAATTAATGTTCTAATCTCTCTATCAGTAAAATTGTTTTTTCTCTTCTTTTGGTTTCCGTTATCCATGACTTCGTTATCCAATTCTTAGCTTGCTCTGAATGGAGGAGTTTGAGTGTTAACTTATGTAGACGTGTGTTGCTTGGCAACAATTACTGTTTTGCGTGTATTCACGTGGACGCGCATCTTAAGACCAGGCGCAGCTACGACCGAGACTAGTCAGGCTTGGTGCACTGTAAATTCGAATCACTAAGTCGGACGTAGCTAAGCCCGACGTTAGAGTTAAGCCCTACTTTTTTACGCCCAGCTGGTGCACTCCACTCAGGGTCTGTGGTCGTTTAATCCTGTGGTCCTTGTTTTCTTGGGAACCGGGATGATGGTGGACGATTTGAAGCATGCTGGAACGTGGCATTTCTCCAGTGAGGTGTTAAAGATGTCTGTAAACACCGGAGACAGCTGATCGGCAGTGCTTCAGAGTGGATGGGGAGACATTGTCAGGGCCAGCAGCTTTTCTGGTACTGAGTCTCCTAAAAAGTCTGTTTACATCTTTCTCATTGATAGAGAGAGTATCTGATGTGTCGGGGGAGGGCAGTGGTGTGGGAAAGTGGGACACTGAAAGGGGGGGGGGGGGGCATGGAGGTTTGAGACTGAGGCCCCGTCCACACGGACACGAAACGGGTGGCATCCGCTATAGTTCTTTATCGTCATAGCTTCGCCTCTCCGCACCTCTCCTGCTCACCCCCGCGTCACCCGCGTCATTGCTGATGTGTTTCGCCAACAACAACAACAATGGCGGATCACAGGGTTGCGTTCGTGCTCCAGACGCTACTGACCATGATACAGATTTTAGTGCAACATCTACAGCTCCTCTACCACAACCATCAGCAACAAGTGGAGCAGCCTTCCTCGACATTGAGAAACACCCTGAGGCTTTTGGCTTGTAGTTTGTGATCTGTCTTAGTCCACGCCAGACAGAAGCAGAATCGTTTGCTGAGAACTGGTGTTGGAGCTTCTCAGAGTATTGTCGTTTAGCATCTCTCACCGCCTTGCTAAAGACGTACTTCAACTCTCTAAAACGTGCCTTATCGCCACTCCTAAACGCCTCCTCCTTTTGCAATCTAAGCTGTTTCAGTTTTGCTGTGAACCAGGGCTTGTTGTTGTTGAAACTCACCCTGGTGCGTGTTGGTACACAGCTGTCCTCACAGAAGCTGATGTATGACGTCACAGCCTCTGTATATTCATCCAGACTTTGAGTAGCAGTCCTAAACATGTCCCAGTCAGTACAGTCCAAACACGCCTGAAGTTCCTCCTTAGCTTTACTGCTCCACTGCCTGAATGTCCTCACTACAGGTTTGAGTTTCTGCCTGCATGCAGGAATCAGGTGGACCATGGTGTGGTCAGAGTGGCCCAATGCAGCGCGGGGGAAGGCGTGATAGGCTCCCTTGATGGTGGTCTAACAGTGATCCAAAATATTCCACTCTCTGGTGGGGCATTTCATAAACTGTTTGTATTTTGGGAGTTCGTGGCTGAGGTTGCCTTTGTTAAAGTCACCAAGAACAATAACTAGGCAGTCCGGATAAGTCCTCTCCACACACAGTATCTGGTCGGCGAGTGGGCGCTGCGCCTCCTGCACGTTCGCATGCGGTGGGATGTACACACCGAACAGAATGAATGAAGAAAACTCCCGGGGGGAATAGAAGGGTTAGCAGTTGATGATAAACGTTTCCAGAGTGGGAGAACAGTGCTGCAGAATCACTGTCACATCGTTGCACCAGCCACTGTTAGTGTAAACACATATTCCTCCACCTTTTGATTTGCCGGAGAGCTCCGTGTCTCGATCCGCTCTGAACAGCTGGAAGCCTGGAAGCTGCAGCGCTGAGTCTGGGATCGATCCACACAGCCAGGTCTCAGTGAAGCACAAAACACAAGATGAAGAAAAGTCTCTGTTTCTACTAACCAGTAGCTGAAGCTCGTCCAGTTTGTTTTTGATGGAACGCACATTAGAGAGAAATATTCCGGGTAGCCCCATAGTACTCACCTTGCTAACTGGATGGCTTGCAACACCCATCCCTCACCTCACTCTCCAAATAATGACTTCCTGATTCTCTATATATTGGTGTTTGCAGAATCATTGTAGAACATACAAAGAAATTCATTTCAAAGTGTGTTTTAATCAGTGGTGTACTAACAATACAAATTTTTTTTTTTGTCTAGTCTGCGAAAGTATTCAACTATGCCAAATGGGAGAAAACCTGCCAAAGTATTTTCGTTGTGTTTGCCATCGTGTTTATGGTAACACGCCTGATCATCTTCCCATTCTGGTAAGTTCATAAATGAGGTGTGTGTGTTTGTCTGTGAGAGAGATGTGTATACTGTATGTGTATGTGGACCCCGTCTGAACACCATCCAACCACTCTAATCTCATCATGTAGCTTCATACATGTTTTGCCTTAAGGAAAAGGAAACATTTACATATACATGACCCATTCATAATGTTTGCCTTAAAGGTGGGGTAGGTAAGTTTGAGAAACCGGCTCGAGATACACTTTTTGTTATATTCCATGGAATGCTCTTAACATCCCGATAGCAATGAATATCTTAAGTGCTTTGACAAAAAATCCATAACAAAATGTCATCTGAGGAAGCTGTAATACTGTAAAAAGCACGACCAATCATTTTAGCCGGCCCGGCTAAAATAACTGGATGGCCTACCTGCCTGTCAGCCTTCCATCTGGGCACAAACTTATCTCGTGCCCTCATTGGTCATGTGCGCGTTCGTGTGTGTTGGAGGAGGGGCAGATTTTGTGGCAGATTTTCTCCGGTTGTGTATTTTCAAATTGTAGCGATCTCGAGCCGGTTTCTCAAACTTACCTACCCTACCTTTAATTATATCATGATTATTGTTTATTGGTCTGAGAAGGATAATCAGATTTTTCAACTGTCAAGATAATGTTAAGAGGTGTATAATTCAGAGAAATCAGATACCAGTCAAATAGATCCAGCATTGTGTATCCTTTGATGGCCTTGGTGATACAGCGAGCTAACCAGTGTGCAGTGATGACGTATTTTTGTTGGCTGACCCTGAAGTAAGCATCACAAAGGCTTCCTCCACAAAAAGCAATGAGATTTTTCCATTGGATTTGGGTATATTGCAGAAAATAACATTATGTTCAGCAGGATAATCTCCATATATTAACATGATCACTTTTTAGGAAAGTTAAGCACAAATGTAATGTCCAGAAGTGAAACGCTAACGTTAGGCTATAAACAAAGTACAGCACGGTCACATGACTTCACGTCACCACCGCTAAGCTAAAGGTGGCTAATGTTGGGCGTAATTTTGTCACTTGTTAGCATCCGCCGTTTTTAAGACACATAGAAGCTTTAGACATTCGTCAGTGGGGTATTTAATGACGTATTCATGTTCTAGAAAAACATGAAAATCTCTTCAGCTTGTGATAACCACATATTTTATTGAGGGAAGCTAACTGAAAACAAGTTATGAAATCAGTTGATTTTGAAATGAGGGAACTGGATATGGTGAAAATGCTGAGTAATTTCCAGGTTTAAGAACTCATTCCTGCACAGCTCTTTTACTAAAGGCAGGAGCAGATTCCCCCGTCATGATACAGCAGCTGCCTCGCCCTCCTGGCTGCTGCTGACCCAACAGCTTGTCAACATTGGAAACAAAGAAGTACTCTTTATCTGATACTACCTTCAGGAACGCCTTGCTCAGGTGTGCTGGTGGCCTAGACAGCTGAGTCATGACTATAAAAAACGCAACATCCCTCGTTTTTACACATTACAAGTTGATGAGGTTTAGTTAACACTGCTCTAAAATGTATAAAAGACAACTTATGTTTAAAAAAGACCAAAGGGGAAGGTAGGTGAAGGAATGTTTTATATCCATGGCCTCCATTTGGTCATTATCCAAGCGATCCAAACCCTATCTGCTCAGTTAAAAGTGCAACATTTCATTTGCACCCATCGAATGTACATCAGAATGTAATACACAGTACACAGGAGTAAACCCTGGGTAAAGTAGTATTTGGCTTGTTTCTCCTCTGCTGTGTTCTAGGCTGATCCACTGTACCTGGGTCTACCCTGTTCTCCACTACCCCGCCTTCTTTGGATACTACTTCTTCAACGTGATGCTGGTGGTGCTTCTCTGTCTGCACATATTCTGGGCCTACCTCATTCTCCACATGATCAAAAAGTTCATGTTTGGCAATGTAAGTGTTCTCATTGAGAAGTATTTTTCCAAACCTGTTTTAATTATGTTGTATTGCAAAGCATCTAAACATAAACCCTCCCTCATCAGACTGGATGATTTGACCATGTTTCATGATCTCCTTAGGATATTTTTGAAATAATTCAAGATAACATTGCCACCCTTAAGTTGACTTTATAGTTGCCTGATGCTCCACTATAGATACTTACTGTATGGCAGAGTGATTGTGGGCTTTACACGGCCTTATACAACTGGAGTTACATGTAGATCATTTAAAGTGTTCATTGTAAGTTCTACAGTGTAGTGACTGCATTAGATGTGTTTTACTGGAAATTAGTTTACAATAGTCTTTTTCTTTTACATTCCTCATGCTGTCTTCACTCAGGACATAGCCTCCATTATCAGATACTTGTAGGAAATTATCTTAGCTGGCCAATCCCTGTTCTCATCATCAAGCCTACAACCAACAACAAAGTATAAATCCTGCTTAACCCTGAATATAAGACGTTTTTTTGACCCCTCCATCAACCATGACCCCTAACCTCCTATGTGGACTTTATCGCTTAGAACACGCTGCTTGTGTAAATACATTAAACGGACCTTCCATACTTCTTATAGTCACCAGCACGTCAGGTGGTCCCATGTTGATTTTGAAGATGTTAACACCAGGAGAAGCCCACAGCATCAGTGGTTTGTTCTAGTTGCTGAAGCAGCATCTGTTAACCTTTATCTGAGACGGACCTCTCACAGCCATGTGACTCAGGAGCGCCAGGGCACATGGCGAGATTAAATCAATCAAAACTCTTCATTCATCTCAGGGGGAAATTAGGTTTTGTGGCAGGTTCACCAAATTAGAATAACATAAATACATTTTTATATAAACATATAGAGCTTCACGATTCTCTACACTGGGGTTTGTGCTAGCAAATAATAGATGGGTACTAAAACACTTCAAGCTACTCACTTCTCTGGCTTTTTTACTAGAAAATCCTCGAAAATGTGTTGAACGATGTGTTAATTAGTATTTTTATTTGAATTTTTTTCCGTAAAATATTTGGCAATTGTGAGTTGCCCAATTATTTGATGACCGGTGTTAAAAGAAGTACTCAGATATACAAGTTAAAGTCCTGTTTTCAAAATTGTATGTAAAGTAAGTAAAAGTACAAAAGTATTGGCATCAAAATATACTTAGGTACAAAAAGGTAAAAGTACTTATTCTACACAATGGCCTATTTCAGAAAAATATACAGAACAGAAGTCTAATTATTATCAGTTACTGTATGAGTATATTATTACTCTTTATGCAGAATGGATCTTTTCACCTTATTATGTTAGGGTTTTTATTTGATCCTGTTTTTATTCATGTACGAGCATTTTAGTAGTAGTTTGTCAAAGTTATCTAAATGAAGATGATTGACATACTGTGTAGATAGGTAGAACTGCATTTTACTTTAGCAGCATATCATGTGTTTTTATAGGTATGTATAAAAGTATAACTGTGAGTGTTAAATACATGTGGTGGAGTAAAAAGGATGATGTCTACCTCAGAAATGTAGTGGAGTAGAAGTATAAAGTACCATTAACTGGAAGTACTCAAATAAAGTACAAGTATGTCAAAAAAGTACTAAAGTACAATACTTGAATTAATATACTTACCACCAGTCGTGATAACTGATATTGGACGGGGAGCATTTTAACTCTGAAGGCAGTCAACAGACTGTAGTAAATGAATATATATATTGTACTCAGATAACCCATAGCTCGGTTCTCTGCAGCTCAGGTTCCTAATCTTCCCTCTATATGTGCTTTTTAAAATCTATTTTCTGTTTTTCTACTGCTTATGTCACAGCTGACCCGTGATGAGAGGAGTGACTTTGAGGAGGAAGAGGAAGATGAGGAGGAGGAGAGCAGCCTGACAGAGGATGAAGGAGAGCAACAGCACAAGCTGGGCAATGGTTTTTCAGTCAGTGAGACGGAGGAGAAGAACAGAGGCTTTGGGTGCATGTCTCCTCCAGAGAACATGTGCCGCTCCAAAACTGTGTGCTGAATAAGCAAAACAAGATGTATTCCTTCAGTTGCAGGAACTAAACTCACAGTGAATATGTTCAGAGAAAACCCCCCCCATGCTGTCAGTGGCAGCGCTTCACTGTCATTCACAGAGACCAACAAACCTAACAAGCAAACAAAGGACACACTCATCACCACGTTCATATGTTTGTGAAGTGCAGAGCTGGTGGGGGGCACCACCAGCTGCTCGACCTCACTGGGTCATCAATCAAGACTTTAATTGCCCCCCCCAGCCCGCTGAATTAGCACGCACCGCTTATGCTCACCGGTAGATGAATGGGATCCAGTGAGATAATGGAGGTGGAGGTGGGGTTGGCAAAGTACTGTATGTAGCTGTGCTCACCTTCATAGACCCACTGAACTCTTTGTGTATACAAGTTTTGTATTTTAATCTACTGTCCAACTTTGACTTTACATGATAAATCACACCATCGTGTTGTGCATGCAGTAATTCCCATAGATAACAACATGTGATGTTTGGAAACATCTAGGCAGCAATGACTTTGACTTTCATTCATCTAAAGCACTGAGCCCAACCGGAGGGTCCCGACCCCACCCAAGGCTCAGAAAACCTTCTTGGGGTTAAAAAAGGTCTCCTTGGTTTTAGTCTTGGTCAGACAACGTTTTATAAAAATATACAGTCAACATTTTATTCATTTCTGTGAACAAAAATGTAAAGTAAACTACAAAAATGGGAGCTTCTGATATAATAATCCAAAAAGTTAAATGAACTGAGTCTCCTCCAGCATAAGACATGTTTTGTAGTTTAAATACCAAAAGACCAGCAAGACAACATATCTCTACACAGGAAATAATCTGCTTCAAATGAATCCATATCGCTCGTTAGGGGTTTATTTTGCAACAGAACTGATGGATGGTTGACAGCACATCAGAGACTGAACAGAGGACATGAGTTTTATGATTATAAAAGGAGTTGCCTCACATCCCTGATGCTGTGCCAATGCATTTTAGGAAGTATTTGTTGCTGCCGTTCACTTGGAGAAAACCAGCACAGAAAAGTGGTGGTAATAATGATTAATAATGTATTTTAAAGGGGACCTATCATGCAAAATGCACTTTTGTACGTCTTTTCTACATGAATATGTGTCCCCGGTGTTCCAGGGAACTCACCAAGTGTCAGAAAACACAACCCTCTCTATTTTCCTCCATACCCAAATCTCTAAAAAAGGGGCTGCAACGGATTTGATGAAAACTGATCCAGATTTGAACACTGTCCTGACGTCAGGACGGTGGCGCTACGGCTATTGGGCCAACTCCACCAATCAGGAGGAGACAGCCACGGCCATTGCCGTTCGAAAGCGCTGGAGACGCTGTAGTACATATGCCAGGCCAGTAGATGGTGCTGTTGCTCACTGAATCTGCCCTTGCAGAGCAGAGCTAAAAAAAAGTGCAAATAGAGCGAAATGAGGCATGGCTAAAATGCATGATCTGTTTGGTATTTTGAAAACAGAAACGTATAAATATACCTTATATAGGTATGGCCCTACAATATATCATTTAAATATACCATGATAGGTCCACCGTTTATCTAGGCCCTTTTTGTTTTGTTTTATGTATATATGTCACACTGTGAGACTGCGGGAAACGGTATCTCGAGATTTCTGGATGTATAACACATGTAGTAATTTTGACAATAAAGCTGACTTTGACTTTGACTTTGATTTTTATTGAGTTTATTAAGGTACTCAGAGACACTTTACATGTACTGGTTAAAATGAATTTAAAATAACACATTTAATATATGATAACCTATAATTACACATTAAAAAGCACTTATGAAAAGGTGACTTATGCTTAGCGATTTGAACATGGACAGATTGGTGCAGTCTTTGTGTTTTATAATAAAAGACTAATGCGCCATTATTTCTGTAACATTTAAAAAATGTTTAAGGAAGACAGAGAATCATGGAGCAGTTTGAAATTGACGTGTCTTTTTTTTACAGTCAGAACATGTGAAAGGAACATTTGTGTAATTGTATGATACAGCAACACAACTGTAAAAAAAGACCTGCTAAGTAAAATATTTTTTCTGAGCTATTTTTTAATTTTTCCTATGATTTCCTGTTGAAAGTCTTCAACAGGGCAGTAATACCTCTACTGCCCACAAGATGGGGATGCTCCGCCTGCTCTCTGCTCTGATCTCTCTGCAGAGAGCACAGGTCTTACCTGCAGGAGGAAAGACCCCCATTTTTTTAATATTTCATAACTACTTTATTATGACAGTTATGATAAGGTAAACTGTGCATGTTCAACACACTCTCACTCCATAAACGTCCAGCAGCGACGCTTGGTCAGGGTCCCGAGGCGTGCAGTTGGGACGCTCCTAGGCTCCTTCAGCTTCATAAACAGACGCAAATAGCTTTCAACTGATTGCAACGTATTCCCATCTGCGGCGGGATTTGACGCTCATGGAAGCACGGCATTCTTTGTGTCGGAGGCTGTTAAAGGCAATGTGAGCGTCCATTCCCATTGGATAACGGAGAATTGTACACCCGGAAGTAAGTATTCCCCTTACTGTCGATTGATTTGACAGTGATATCTCCACTACTCATCAACTCAAAAACACCAGATTATCCTTGTTAATTAAACGACATTGATAGGTTTTAGTGTGTGTACAATGCTTTTGTCACGTTTTCCCCTTCAATTCTGAGAAACAAGTCGTTTTCTATGAGTTTTGGATGGCTGAAGACATTACATTACCCACAATCCTCTGTAGCAACCATAGAAAAAATTAAATAATACATTATTCCGAGTGTGCTTGCTTTTCTCTTTGAAAGTCATCACATAACGGCATTGTAATACACGTTTCGGCTGCATTAAATATGACATATCTGCCGTAGTTAACTCTGCCCTGATGACAAGACTTCTAGACAAACAGGAACTGCCGCCAAAACTGAAAACTTGACGTGGATCATAAATATATCAGCAATTAAACAACATCTTACATTTCTTTTCACACAATACGTCTCCTTGCAGTATCAACACTAATTCGGCTGACTTTTATATTTGATCCAATTGGTAGATAGGTTGTATTTACGCCATAACGGTGCACAGCTGATAGAAAGGGACACCTACTGGTTAAAGCATGTTATTGCATTTTATAATTTTATTATTAGATATTAATAGGATCCCTATAAAGTATATTCTTTACTCGTCGTTATTCTCTACTAATAGTTCATTAAAGACTGTATATAATGACTATTTTGCAAAACTGGACAAATCTCTGCCTACATTCACTCAGTATGTGAAATGCCCCACCAGGGGAAATAATACACTGGATCTTTTATATGCTAATACCAAGGATGCATATTGTGCCACTGCCCTCCCCCTCTGGGCAGATCTGACCACAACCTCGTCTTCTTGGCTCCTAAGTATGCCCCTCTGGTGCAGAGGCAGCCTGTATCCACCAGGACTGTGAGGAAATGGACTCCAGAGGCTAATGAGGCTCTACAGGACTGCTTCGAGACCACTGACTGGGACGTGCTCTGTGTGCCACATGTGCCCCTTTCACACCGGCGCTTTTCCAGCTCCGGCTCGGAGCTGGAGCTGGAAAAGCGCCGGTTTTTCCTGTTCACACTGCAGCGGCGCCGCGTCATAGCTAGATAGGTGGGGAGAGGCGGGGCTATTGCGTCGTCATTATCAGAAAAGGATGACCGTATAGGCTACCACACGGCCCCGTTGGACCCCCCAGAGCGCTCCGTTCCCAGATCTATCCACCTTTGGACCCGTTGTCGTTTGCAGGGTCCGTTTCTATCGTTCCGTTACGGCGTCGTGTGGCAAAAAGGGCTATACGCAAGAGAAATATGCGGATACAGTACAACCCGTTTTCGTTCCCGTGGGGCCTGGGCCTCAACCTGTACTCACATCCATAACATGGGGGATTCACAGAGGAAATATTGAAGCAGGAGTCAGCACACCTAGGCTATTATATTACTATTTTGCTTTTTAATACTTGTTTGTACATAATTAGTTTCCCCTGAACATATAACATACGAATGGCTAAATCAATTAGTGTGTGTGTGTGTGTGTGTGTGTGTGTGTGTGTGTGTGTGTGTGTGTGTGTGTGTGTGTGTGTGTGTGTGTGTGTGTGTGTGTGTGTGTGTGTGTGTGTGCGCGCCCAGTGTTACCTCACTATTTGGCATTATGGTTCTCATATGTAAGAAAAGCTTTGGCATTGCTGAAAATGAAAGTTTACCTCATCATTTCAGAGACGCAGGAGTGAATATGTATGGACAATTTTACTTTATGTTTTATGTTATACCATTGTAGAGTGGGTTTTCCACAAATCAATCTTTGTATGTGTGTGTTTTCTTATTTTTTAGGAATATTCACTCCTGCGTCTCTGATATGATGAGGTAAACTTTAAAGTGGACCTATCATGCTATATTTGAATAATATAGTGTAGGACCATACCTATTTAAGGCATATTTATACTTTTTCTTTTTCAAAATACCAAACAGATCATGCATTTTAGCCATGCCTCATTTTGCTGAATTTGCACTTTTTAGATCTGTTTTGGCAAGGGCAGATTCAGTGAGAACAGCACCACCTACAGGCCTGGCATATGTACTACAGCGTCTCCAGCGCTTTCGAACGGCAATGGCCGTGGCTGTCTCCTCCTGATTGGTGGAGTTGGCCCAATAGCCGTAGCGCCACTGTCCTGACGTCAGGACAGTGTTCAAATCTGGATCAGTTTTTATCAGATCCGTTGCAGCCCCTTTTTTAGAGATTTGGGTATGGAGGAAAATAGAGAGGGTTGTGTTTTCTGACACTTGGTGAGTTCCCTGGAACACCGGGGACACATATTCATGTATACAAGACGTACAAAAGTGCATTTTGCATGATAGGTCCCCTTTAATTTTCAGCAATGCCAAAGCTTTTCTTACATAGAAACATAATGCCAAATAGTGAGGTAATACTGGGCACACACACACACACACACACACACACACACACACACACACACACACACACACACACACACACACACACACACACACACGCTAGCTAGCTGCGCTAACGGATATAATGAGCTGTTTCAACAACAAGGTGGAGGTGCTGTCAGACTGAGAGAGATAACTACAGCTCAGCTGAGGTAAAGGACTCTCTGAGTCTTTAGATAGTTAACTTAGTCTAAGTTATCTCTGTGGGTCTCAAACGATTTGGTCACTATTTATGTAAACACATATTTCCATTTGAGGGGGGAGTGATTAGTAAAATATGCATGAATAATAAAAAATAAATGTTAACTAGGTGAAAAAAGGTAAGATAAACTTTTAAAACTAGTCTTTGCTGCTGCCTCAAAGAGGAGCAGGAGGGAGAGGGGAGAGAGGAGCAGGGGGGAGAGGAGCAGGGGGAGAGGGGGGAGGCAGGGGGAGAGGGGGGAGACGGGTGAGGCTGGTTCAGGAGCCCGGACACACTCACAACTATAAATGAACCAAAAACAAATAAATAAACAAGTTTCAATGTTTTTTCATATTGGATATGGTATATTATATGTTATTGGTTATGGCAACGGCCCTAGACATTTTGGTGCCCTAGGCGAGATTATGATGTGGTGTATGAACATGTTTTAATTGGGGGGTGGACGTCACATCCTCTAGGGGGGTCCGGGGGTATGCCCCCCCGGAAAGATTTGTTTTAACATTTTAAAGTAAAATGCTTCAATCTGGTGCACTTTGAGCAGAATTACTAGAGACTAGATCTAGGGGGTACAACTCTAAACACCCATATGAAAAAGATCGGTTTACATTTTAATAATCAAATAAGTATGTGAACATAACCAATAACCTACCATAGCCAATAACAAATAAATGTAACGTATTATTTTTTTGTTTTTGTTTTTCATTCATATCTTATTTTACCTAGTTAATATTTATTTATTCATGCATATTTTTTAATATCTCCAGTTTTAAACAATGTTTTTGGTTTACTGTTTATACATTGGAATGATTTCAAACCTTTTTTTATTTATCCCAATAATTATAAAGGTGTGCCTTGGAAATATGTGTTTACATAAATTGTGACCAAACCGTTTGAGACCCACTGAGATAACTTAGACTAAAGTGAACTATCTAAACCCTCAGAGTCCTTTACCTCACTGAGCTGTAGTTATCAGCCTCAATCCAACAACAATCCGCGGTACCAATGCGCGCCCTCTCTCTCTCTCTCTCTTGCTCGCTCGGAGGCTCGCTCGCACTTTGGCTGTGAGCTGCGGGCGCCAGATTTCATTTCATTTCAAACCTTTATTTAACCAGATTGTCCCTTGAGATCATAGATCTCTTTTTCAAGGGAGACCTGCAGCAATTAGGTTCCACATGAAACAACATAAAACAATAGAGGATATCATACAACATATTTACAAGCTACATTTACATACTTATCAACATTTACAAATACCCATAGTTTCAATGAGCATTTCATTTAGCCTAGCTTTAAAAACATTCAGAGGAATAAAATTGCTCAGTTTCAATTTTAGCTGTAGACTGTTCCAAGCAAGTGGCGCTGCGCACATAAAAGCTGTCTTACCTAAGACAGTCCTTGCTCTTGGCACATCTAACAAGACTACATCATGCGATCTCAGACAATAGCTACCTGCAACTCTCTGTGTTATCAGTGAACAGATGTAATACGGGAGTTTACCCAACATAGCTTTATAAATAAACGTGTACCAATGACTGAGCCTCCGTACAGTAAGTGATGGCAAACCTGCCTTGGTATACAGTGTACAGTGATGTGTAAGTGCTTTACAATTTGTGACAAATCTCAGTCAACGTCCCCTACTTTCATCACTTACAGCGCACATCGTACAGGGCAAATGCAAAATGTTGCCGGCCCGGGGTGCAAAGGGTGTTTACTTTATTCAATTATTAATGTAAATGTCAAGGGCAGAAAATTAGGCAGAATAAAAATTAAAAATTAATTAATTTCTTTTCTTTTTTTATTATTATTTTTTTTCTCCCAGCGCAGCACCCCTCCAGATCTGGCGCCCCAGGCGACTGGCTAGTTCGCCAGTGCCTAGTGCCGGCCCTGGGTTATGGCCATGTTCTTATGATTGTATGGTTATTTAAAGGTGGGGTAGGTCATTTTGGAGAAACCAGCTCGAGTGCGCTAGAATTTGAAAATACACAGCAGGAAAAAATCTGCCACTTCCTTACAGAGCCCCTCCTCCAACACACACAAACGTGCACATGACCAATGAGGGCACGAGATAAGTTTGTGCACAGATGGAAGGCTGACAGGCAGGTAGGCCATCCAGTTATTTTAGCCGGGCCGGCTAAAATGATTGGTCGTGCTTTTTACAGTACTACGGCTTCCACAGATGAAATTTTGTTATGGATTTTTTGTCAAAGCACTTAAGATATTCATTGCTATCGGGATGTTAAGAGCATTCCATGGAATATAACAAAAAGTGTATCTCGAGCCGGTTTCTCAAACTTACCTACCCCACCTTTAAATGTATACAGTTCTGTTTCATATGGGTGTTTCCATAGATCTAGTCTCTTTATTTTCCCCTCAAAATGCACCAGATTGATGCATTTAACTTCAAAATAAAAAAAATATATCTTACTGGGGGAGCATGCCCCCGGACCCCCCCTAGAGGATTTGAGGTCCACCCCCACTTAAAATATGTTCACATGGATAGATTCCTAAATAGATTTTCACATTTTTTAAAATAGTAACCCATGTCCATATGTTTATTCTGGGGTAGTAGATTTAAACTATAGGGCTATCACTATGGGCAGCAACACTGTAAATATTGACAAATAAATCCAGCAAAATGGCACAAAAGAAAACTGGTAGTGGCCTGGCTGGGTGTGTAATTCCCGGCCTGACTTATTGTCCCAGTCCGGCCCTGCACACACACACACACACAGGGCCAGCCCGTTGCACTGGCGTTATAGATGTTTGCCGAGGGCGCCAGATCTGGGAAGGCGCTGCTCTGGCAGCTCTGGGAGGGTAAAAAACATTTTTGACCGTTGGTGCTCATCCTAATTTTCGGCCTTGATGTAACAATATTCATAATTAAGTAAATGTAACACCCTTTTCACCCCGGTTACACTTCATTTGCCCTGTACGATGGGCGCTGTAAGTGATACAAATGGGGGATGTTGGCTTATCAGGTGCCCGCAACTCACAGCCAAAGTGCGAGTGAGCGTGGGAGCGAGCGAGGGAGAGAGGGAGGGCGCACCGGTACCGTCGCTGTTGTTATTAGAATCTGGTGCTAGCTGCTCTAACGGAAGAAGAAGATGTTTCTACAATAACGTGGAGGGAGAGTCCTCTCCAGTCAGACTGAGAGGCTGATAACTACAGCTCAGTGAGGTAAAGGACTCTAGATCAGGGGTGGGGAACCTCCGGCCTCCGGGCCGTATACGGACCGCGAGACCATTTGGTACGGCCCTCGAGGTAATTTATAAACACACGCAAAAATGATTTGTTTTAAAGAAATCTAGACCGCAAAATAATTAGACAAGCGAGTGCCTGTTTTTCCTGGCCAAGGTCAGGGTCCTTGAACACAACACGAGCCTAACGTGTCATCGTCTGGTATATGTCTCGTCTGACAGGGGTGTAGTTCTGATGGAGAGCACCAGAATGCCGCTCCGGGCCGGGACTTCACAAATTGCAGTACCCATAAGGAGCCGTACACATGCCGCAGTTTTTGCGTGGCTGTGTCTTTAGTTGAAAGCCCAGTGGCGATCTGCTCATCTGTCATACTGATCATACAGTCAATAACTTTGTTGTTATTAGCCTCTGGCTAGCTAGCTATGCTAACGAATATAAGAAGCTTTTTCTCCAACCAGTGAGGTAAAGGCGAATCTTTATATGATCATTATAGTTATAAAAAAATAAGAGAATAAAGTAAACAGGTATAAAATACTATATGACAGTAAAAAAAAGTTGTTATTAATAAACAAGAATACAGTTTGAAAGGGGAGTGATTTGTAAAATATCCATAAAAAAAAAGAAAATCTGTTTACAGTTCTGTTTCATATGGATGTTGAGAGATGTATCCATAGATCTCTTCATGTTGCTCTCAAAGTGCACCAGATTGATGCTTTTAACTTCAATATTTAAGCATGCCCCCCGGACCCCCCTAGAGGAGGTTAGGTCCACCCCCCACTTAAATCATGTTCGCATGGATAGGAAACTAAATACATTTGCACACATCTTGTGTCCATATCTTTCTGTTTTGGTGGTCATGCTACACCCTGCACGTGCATGCATGCGCGAGACATGGTAAGATATCTGGATTAAGAGGTTGCTTTTTCTTTGCACAGCATGAAAGAAAGGCCAAATGAATGGGCTGTGATTTTAGTTTTTTTAAGCAGACGTTGAGTTCAATAATTTGTACGGCCCTTTGATGTTGTAAAAATGTAAATGGCCCTTGAGAGGAAAAAGGTTCCCCACCCCTGGTTTAGATAGTTAACTTTAGTCTAAGTTATCTCAGTGGGTCTCAAAAGTTTTGATCACAATTTAAGTAAACACATATTTCCAAGGCACTCCTTTATAATTATTGGGATAAACAGGTTTGAAATCATTTCAATGTATACTATAGGACAGTAAACCAAAAATATCGTTTAAAACTGGAGAGATAAAAAAATATGCATAGATAAATAAATGTTATAACTAGGTAAAATAAGATATAACAAAATAAAATAAGTTACATTTATTTGTTATTGGCTATGGTAGGTTATAGATGGGCCTACGTCACTTCCGGGCGAAAATTACGGCCCCGCCCACTTTTGGGGGAAAACGCTGTCATTTGAATGGCGGTCAATACAAATACTGAAGTCTTTGCCAATCCGATCAGAAATGTAAGAAAACCGTGGATTTTTGGATCTTCAAAGAGCCCGATTACGATGGCCAGTCAGGCAAACAATTACATTAAATCATTTGAAATCGACGATCGGCCTCGATATATGGTTAAATATACGCCAGCTAAAATCTCGCCTAGGGCAGCAAATTGTCTAGAGCCGGCCCTGCACACACACGCACACACACACACACACACACACACACACACACACACACACACACACCACACACACACACACACACACACGCACGCACGCACGCACACACACACACACACACACACACACACACACACACACACACACACACACACACACACACACACACACACACACGCTAAAAGTTAATTCTCCGAACTTTCTTTCTCCACTTGAAACCACGTGTAGGGTTTCAACCTCAAACAGTGACGGACAGCTTCACTGACCAATGAAAACGAAGGATATCTCAGCCTCCCTCGGCTCAGGGTCTTATGGAACCAATGGCGCAGCAGCAGAGGCGGGGCCTGTCGGAGGAGGCGTGTCCTGCAGCACAGACACCCTCCAGCCGGGGTTACTGCAACTTCTCCAGCTTAGGGAAACTGCGCCGTCCGCTACAGTCCCCTTAACACCACCCGCCACCTCTTCTCCTTTATTCTACCCTGCTTTGCTTTACCATGCATAACAGCCTTGTTCCCCATGTGCTCCTCTCTCTTCTCTGCATCGGATTGAGTGGTAAGTACTGACTTCGAACTCTTTACGTAGGAGCTGTGAGTGTGTACGCCTATTTCTCTTAGATATAGGTCATGACTAGAGCAATCCTATTCCTCCCTCTAACAGTGTTACTAAAGAGCAGTTGTATGAAGTTGCCTCCTCCTGTCTGCTTGTTAGATCCCCACCATGGGAGTGCAGTTTCAGCAGATTGTTAGTGGAGCTGCGGCTGAACGTGGCTCAGTCACGGAGCATGAGAGCACGGTTCAGTCAGTTCACAGAGGCAGGACAGGCTGTGTATGGCCGCTGTTTGATGGAAACTAACGCCCCCCCTCTTCCACAGCCCAGACTGAGCTGGAGACGGATGAGGTGGTCCCCCGGCTGCTGTCCGGGCAGGAGGCGCACCTGTCCTCCCGACACACCGTCCGCTCCCTGCGGCGCCGCGGCCAGCGCTCCCTGCACGGCCAGGGCGGAGGATCCTCTGACCCGGATCACATCATCCTGTCACTGCCCGCTTTCGGAAGGAGCCTCTATTTAAATCTGACGCGGGACAGCGCGTTTCTCTCCCGGGACTTTGTGGTGGAGGAGCGGCTGAGCGGGGAGCAGAGCCCGGCAGTGAGCAGCCTGTCCCGGGAGCAGCTCTGCTTCTACTCCGGCTCCATCATCAACCACACCGACTCCCTGGCGTCCCTCAGCACCTGTGGAGGCCTGGTAAACTCTTCTTCTCTTTTTGGACCTGTTGATAGCTTTCATGTCATTCAGAAATCACAGCAGCTCCACATTGTAGAGAATGTATTAAATGATTACATTAAAGGAGACATGTCATGGCCATTTCCACTGATCATAATTCCATTGTTGAGGTCTACTAGAATAGATTTATATTGTGCAATTTACCGCGGTGAAGTTAGTTTTAGGTTGGATATTCGACGGACATTCGCGGACCAGCCAGCAGCGTCAGTTTCCCCTGCTGCTGGCTTACGACGGGGAGATCTTCTGCGCGAAACGAGGCTTTCACTTAGGGACCATCAACAAATGACTTTTCAATTACACAAGAAAAATGTTCTTTTTAATAAATCGACAGCTTCTCGATCGTGTGAATGTGAAGCAAATTCACTCTAGAGCATACATTTATTGAACACACCTCTTTTTATTGCATTTTAATACTTTAAATATTTTATATTAATATTTTCATTGAAAAATTAGCTTATGTCTTCAATACCTTCCAGGTCATGTGACCTAATCACTCAAAATCAATGCTGGGTCAAAGAACTACACTTGCTGCATAGGACACACCTCTTGTTATTCCATTTTAATACTCTAAATATTTTATATTAATATTTTTGATGGAAAAATTAGCTTATTTCTTCAATACCTTCCAGGTCATGTGACCTAATCACTCAAAATCAATGCTGTCTCAAAGAACTACACTGGCTGCATAGGACACACCTCTTGTTATTCCATTTTAATACTTTAAATATTTTATATTAATATTTTTGATGGAAAAATTAGCTTATTTCTTCAATACCTTCCAGGTCATGTGACCTAATCACTCAAAATCAGTGCTGGGTCAAAGAACTACACTGGCTGCATAGGACACACCTCTTTTTATTCCATTTTAATTCTCTAAATATTTTTATATTAATATTTTGATGGAAAAATGAGCATATTGCTTCAATACCTTCCAGGTCATGTGACCTAATCACTCAAAATCAGTGCTGTGTCAAAGAACTACACTTGCTGCATAGGACACACCTCTTTTTATTGCAAATTAGCTTATTAGCTTAGCTTAGCTTATTTCTTCAATATCTAATGACTCAAAATCACTTTCTGAATTGAATACTAGTCTGTACACAATAGAAACAGCTCTTTATATTGGATAATATTATTGTTGACTGTATGCTTTTTAATATGGACAATGAATCTGTGCTTTTTAATATGGACAATGAATCTGTGCATATCACCACCCTATCTGGTCTGACCTCTTCAACCCACTGTAATCCTATTATTACAGCAAGCATTTCTGCTGTATACACTGATAATTGATCAGACGCTCTTTTTGAGATAGATATTTTGAAGTCTGGGATGTATATACCAACTCCAACACACTCTTCTTTGTTCTTAGAACCATCTGTGTACATTTGTAGGTAATTGTAGTACTTTTAGTTCAGATACATACTTGTTTTAATTCCCACTTCATTTATTTGCCACTATTTTTTCCTTTCTACATTACTGAGTGTGACATTCGGTCACATGACAGAGAAGCTATTGAAAAAATAAACAGAATTTTCCATGCAAAAATGTATTAATATTAACCCTTGTATAGTGTTTCATTATTTATCTAAAGAAAAATGATATGATACATTATTTGTTCAAACTCACACTCAATGGCGTTGGCTAATTTTCTGTGAAGAACATATATCAGAACACATTTTCAATGACCACCCACTGTACACCCCCCCCTACACATTTTTATTAGATACAGGATGTTCGGGGCTAACACAAGTGTGAAAATTGTGTGTGTGTGTGTGTGTCTTATCACAACTGATCAAGATGGCCAAATGATTCTCTGCTCAGAGGGCCTTGCAAATGATTTTGGAAGAGAGAGAACCATTTGATGATGATGTAGAGGAAGAGGAAGGTGTTTCAGAATGTGAGGATCACATTTCTGAGAATTCTGAGTCTGACAGTGACTTTGAAGAACAGGATTAGATTGAGCATCAGCTAGTTACAAAAAAAAGACGAGCCACAGGACCAGCCGGTCAGCGGGCAAAACAACAAGTACTTTAATTCATTAATCAAGGTTCAAGGTTTTTATTTGTCATACGAACATAGCTACAGAGTAGTTATGACGATGAAAATCTTAGCTCACAGGCTTCTCCAACAGTGCAACACAATAACACAGAAAAACAGAAAAATATAGCGCAAGTAAATAGTAAATACAAAAAGAAAAATAGTTTAAGAAAGTGAAATAGTGCAATAAGAGTCTATATGCAAGTTATTGGAATGAGAGAAATTAGAGAAATAGATAAATAATTACTAAGTAGCAGATGAATGTTATGGATGTTGTTTCAACAGTTCAGGTGTTTAACAGATGTTGTTTCAGCAGTTCAGTTGTTTAACAGTCTTATGGCCTGTGGGATGAAACTGTCCCTGAGTCTGGTGGTTTTAGTCCTGATGCTGCGGTACCCGCCTGCCAGACGGCAGCAGACAGAACAGTTTGTGGCTGGGGTGATGGGGGTCTTTGATAATCCTGAGGACTTTCTTCCTGAGCCGCTGGGAGTAAAGGTCCTCCATGGATGGCAGCTCCGTCCTGGTGATGTTCTGTGCAGTTTTCACCCCCCTCTGTAAAGCCTTACGATTGAGGACGGTGCAGCTGCCGTACCAGGCCGTGAAGCAGCCAGTCAGGATGCTCTCTATGGTGCACCTGTAGAAGGTCAGGATCCTCTCTATGGTGCACCTGTAGAAGGTCAGGATCCTCTCTATGGTGCACCTGTAGAAGGTCAGGATCCTCTCTATGGTGCACCTGTAGAAGGTCAGGATGCTCTCTATGGTGCACCTGTAGAAGGTCAGGATCCTCTCTATGGTGCACCTGTAGAAGGTCAGGATCCTCTCTATGGTGCACCTGTAGAAGGTCAGGATCCTCTCTATGGTGCACCTGTAGAAGTTGCAGAGTATCCTGGAGTCCATGTTGAACCTCCTCAGCCTGCGGAGGAAGAAGAGCCGCTGTCGAGCTTTTTTGGTGATGGTGGTAGTGTGAAGAGTCATGTCAGGTCCTCAGTGATGTGGACCCCAAGGAACCTGAAGCTGCTGACTCTCTCCACCATAGTCCCATTGATGGCGATGGGGGCGTGACCCTCTCTCTGCTGCTTCATGTAGTCCACAATCAGCTCTTTGGTTTTGCTGACGTTGAGATGGAGGTTGTTATCCTGGCAGCAAGTGTAGTTATTTGACCCAGCACTGATTTTGAGTGATTAGGTCACATGACCTGGAAGGTATTGAAGAAATAAGCACATTTTTCCATCAAAAATATTAATATAAAATATTTAAAGTATTAAAATGCAATAAAAAGAGGTGTGTCCTATGCAGCCAGTGTAGTTATTTGATCCAGCACTGATTTTGAGTCATTATGTCACACTACCTAGCAGTTATTGAAGAAATAAGCTAATCTTTCCATCAAAATATTAATATAAAATATTTAAAGTATTAAAATGCAATAAAAAGAGGTGTGTCCTAAGCAGCCAGTGTAGTTCTTTGAGCCAGCATTGATTTTGAGTGATTAGGTCACATGGCCTGGAAGGTATTGAAGCAATAAGCTAATTTTTCCATCAAAAATATTAATATAAAATATTTAAAGTATTAAAATGGAATAAAAAGAGGTGTGTCCTATGCAGCAAGTGTAGTTCTTTGATCCAGCACTGATTTTGAGTCATTATGTCACACTACCTAGCAGTTATTGAAGAAATATGCAAATGTTTCCATCAAAAATATTAATAAAACGTATTTAAAGTATTAAAATGCAATAAAAAGAGGTGTGTTCAATAAATGTATGCTCTAGAGCAGTGGTTCTCAACTGGTCAGGCCTCGGGACCCACTTTTTACTTGGACAATACATCGCGACCCAACATTTTGAACCACTCAAATCTATTCAACAAAAAATCGTGCTGTAATATACGCTTTTGAGCATACAATATTAATAAAAGTGAATTACAGTGCATATATCCCTTATATCCCTTCACAGAACTAAAGTATGCTTTTAAAAAAGGTTTAATGAGATGATGGAATCAAAGCTGAACTATATAAAAAGGCACACATGCTGAAAACCCGACCCCAGAAGGGGGGTCTGGAGGGATTCTCCCCCAGGAGATTTTTAGAAATACTAACATAAACTACGCATTCTGGTACACTCTGAGAAGAAAATAAATAAATCTATTACTACCCGACATATTAATAATATTTTATGCCATTGTTTGTTTTTCACTTTGTTCTGACATCTTGCTGCGAGAAGAGCAAAGAGGAGAGAGTCTGTGTGATTTACTTTAAATTGTGGTAAGGGTAGATAGCTCCCATTGTTCTGTGACCTGTCAATCATCAAACCGGGGGTCATATTTCATTATGTGTTCATTTTTATCTGAAGTTGTACCCATGGATGTATAAAGAAGAGTTCTACCCAAAGTTATTCTCCGTGGGGACTTCCGGCAACAATCTTGATTCTGATTGGCCAGAAGACTCGAAAAAACATCAGCAAAGATATTTTATTGAGAAGATGATCGTGACAGAAGTTTTCAAAACCGTTTATGGTCTCCGGTACTTCCAGTCAAACGCCGACTGCATGCACAGCGTTAGAAAATCGGGCCTTCAACATAAAAGTTTGACTTTTTCCCCAAAAAAAAAAAAAAAAATAATTCCAATTTTTTTTTTCAACTTTATTTTCTTCACTCACACATCCGCGACCCACTCGAAACGGGTCCGCGACCCACCAGTTGAGAACCACTGCTCTAGAGTGAATTTGCTTCACATTCACACGATCGAGAAGCTGTCGATTTTAAAAAGAACATTTTTCTTGTGTAATTGTAAAAGTCATTTGTTGATGGTCCCTAAGTGAAAGCCTCGTTTCGCGGAGAAGATCACCCCGTTAAACTGACGCTGCTGGCGGGTCTGGGAAACTGACGCTGCTGGCGGGTCCGCGAATGTCCGTCGAATATCCAACCTAA